TTTTTTTTATTTTCAATTAAGTATGATAATTTTTTTTTATTATGAATAAATAAGATTTATAAAAATTATATTATAATTATGATATATAATTTTTTTTATTTTCAATTAAGTATGATAATTTTTTTATAAAAATATCCTTAAACAAGTGACTTGCACCCAAAACAAATGATGACAACAACGCGGCCTACTTTCTTGATGGGTCATTCGAGGGACGCGTCAAGCTTTAGAGAAGGACGCGTGTCGACGTATAAATGGTTGGTGTTTACTCTCACTTAACTGTCGGTCAAAAGAGCGATTCAAAAGGCTGTTACTGTGCGAAACGACGATGCGGTGGATGGTAGTGTCTCGGACTTGGTCATTATCCAATCCACTTCCAATCCTTCTGATGTAGCTCAATCCTGTAAGGAGAAAGTGTGATGCACGCGCAGTTTATTATTTGTTTTCTCTTTTATAATCTTTTAATTAATTAACAAACTCTTTTATAATATTCTTTCCATTATTAATATTTACCAAACTTATTTTAAGAGCATTTGGAAACCCTATCAATACGTGTTTTCTAAAAATTTAATTTTTTAATTATAAATTAATATTTTTATGTTTTGAATTGTTTCCATATTTTAATCTCAGAAATAATTTTTTAAAAAATAAAAAATATTATTTTAATATATTTTAACATAAAAAATACTTTAAAAATAACCATAATTATACTACTAAACAGATATTTTAAGTAATAAAAAGACCCAATTATTTACATCATCATTTTTTTAGTGCTAAATATCAAGATTTATAAAAAGAAAAAAAATATGCAACTATTAATTAATGTTTATTTAGCTAATATATTTTGCATACTTATTTTATAAAATAATATGCAATCCAGATTTTCTTTTTATTGCAGAAAGTGAAGGATCACTAACTTTTGAGCTTCATTAACTTAATTAATTATTACCCATTTATCTAAAATAAAGCGTGCATTTATTTATTTACAAAGATAATAATTATCTGTAAACCCAAAAATAAAGGATGCATAGTATGTTAAACCCGCGCACGCCCTTAAAACCAAGCGTGAAACAATCCACACCCACACGCCCCCAAAATTCAAGCCGTGATAACGGCCCCCGTTATCAAAAGCCGTCACAGCACTCACAAATCGCCCACTCATCTTACCAATATTATCTCTCTTTTTTTATTCCTGTCTCCTCCCTTCCTCTCTCTCTCTCTCTCTGTTAGGCGGCGCCACCCCTTGAGTCAAATTCTTCATTGACCAGACTCTATAAAATCACACCCTCTTCCTCCCCTTCCTCCCAGAATACACAAAACCATCATCACCATCGATGCTTAACCCTAACCTTCACTGTACACTTAATTTCTCGAGAATCTTTACAATTCACATGTTTCACTAGCTCTAACGTATTGTGATTCTAGATTATTTCCTGGCGGGCATTCAAGAGAATGGCACCCAAGAAGCTTAATGCCAGCAACAGTAGCTGTTTCAAGAAAACAAGTGGGGATCATGACAAGAAAGAGATACATTACAGGGGAGTGAGGAAGAGGCCGTGGGGGAGGTATGCTGCTGAGATAAGGGATCCCGGGAAGAAAAGCCGGGTCTGGCTGGGTACTTTTGATACGGCGGAGGAGGCTGCTAAAGCCTACGATAAAGCGGCGCGTGAGTATCGGGGTGCTAAGGCGAAGACCAACTTTCCTTTTTCCGGGGAGGTGGTTAATTATGACGATGATAAGCAGAGTTCTAGCCAGAGCAGCACCGTTGAGTCGTCGAGCTCTCCGGTTGTTTCTGCTGCGGTGACCCGCCAGGTTGGCGGTGGAGGAGCGGGCGGGGTTGTGGGGATGGGAGCGTTTCCTTTTGTGTACCAGCAGCAGCAGCAGGA